CTCCAGCAGGGACTTGGATCAATGTGATGATGCAGCTTATCAATGGATCAATCACTGGATCACAGTATTGATCAGGAATGTGTCAGTGATCATTTCTATGTGTCTGTAGTTTTGTTTTTTTCACAGAAGTTTTTATTTATTACCCACAATTTGCTACAAAACACATCACCTGTGGGACACATTTTAGCTAAATGATCAGTTTTTGAACAAATATTTCATATTAAAGATAAAGATTTCTTCTTCTTCTACAGGTTTTATGTTGATTTTGCTGCAGAATCGTCACACAAATGTGTTCATGCTCATTTCTCTGTGTGTCTATTGAATTTAATCACATTAAAATATATATATATTATTTCACAGGACATCAAACGTTTAAACAGCTAGTTTTAATTTGTAAAACATTCTGACAGTTTTGCTGTTGTTTTTCACAAAAACAGTGAATGTTGTGTTGAGTTTGTTTGTTTCAGAGTCAGAGAGCCGTGTCTCTCTACAGTCAGAGGTTTTTGTACGGCGGCTCAATCAGTTTGTATCACTGTGGTGGACGTTCGGTGGAGGAACCAGACTGGAAGTTGGACGTAAGTACATTTAACTTGTTAAAAATGATAAATTCTATATTTATTAAACTTTATTTCATAACCTTTAACAATATTTTGACTGAAAATAGTAATTTGATCCAATTTCAGTGATTTATGAATTGATGCCATTTGGTGTTCAGACTAAAATCTTCTTCAGTTAAAAGTTTTGTCTCAGTGGAAATCAAGGTTGGAAAGTTTTTACATTTCAAGTTTACAAAATAAATATTTGTCACTGAAGTAAAGTTTTTAAACTTCCGTTGAATTAGCTGACAAAGTATTTCTCAATATTTTACTTGATCCTCATGAAAGATTGTAATTTCTCAGATGTTGTGTCACAAATGAAAATGTTTCTAAACCTCAGAATTATATCTTCTGTCTGAGTGTGATTGATTTGATCAGTTCTGATACGTAAGTCAGCAGTTAACATTTATTTTGACTGAACAAAGTAAACTCACATCATCGAGGTCGTTTCTGTTTGAGATCAGAATTTAAAAAATGATGAAAAACAATAAATATCTGACATTTTTCACGTTGTTAATGTGTTTCTAATTGTAAAACTAGGAGTTAATAGTTGACAGATGAAACATGAAAACTTGAGAGGAGCAAAACGCTGCTTGAACATTTTTATCTTTAGTACTGAAACCTGTCTGTTGTCGTGGTTCATCAGTGATGCCTGTCTGTCGCCATGGTTACTGAGNTAAGCCCTCTACTCTACACCCTCTACACCCACCCACTCGAACAACACCATCATCAAGTTTGCAGATGATACCATGGCGTACACCAACAACCTCATCTTGAACACCTCCAAGTCGAAGGAACTGATTGTTGACTTCAGGAGGTGTAAACCAGACATTCAGCTCATCACAATCAATAGGGACAAGGTGGAGATGGTGCCAGACTTCAGGTTCCGGGGCACCTACATCAGTGAAGACGTGACCTGGACTGCAAACTCCACTTCAATCCTGAAGAAGGCACAGCAGAGACTCTACTACCTGAGGATTCTCAGAAAGAATAATCTAAGAACTGAGCTCTTTGTGTCCTTCTACTGCTGCTCGGTGGAGTCGGTGCTGAGCCACGGTATCTCACTGTGGTTCTCCAGCTGCACTGCAGCAGAGAGGAAGCAGCTCCAGGGAGTCATAAACACTGCCCAGAGACTGACTGGCTGTCCTCTTCCATCTCGGGAGGAGATTTGCAGCACCCGCTGCCTCAGGACAGCCCGCAGCATCATCAGGGATCTCTCACACCCCGGCCATCACCTCTTCAAACTTCTACCCTCAGGGAGGCGTTTCAGGGCAATAAAGACAAGGACAAACAGACTGAAGTACAGTTTCTACCTAAGAGCTATTTTTGCTCTAACACAGCAAATTCCCATTAACCATTCTTCAATGTAAAATAGAAAAATCTCTGTTCATACACCCAGTGCAATAACTTATTGAATTGCAATATCAATATGTTTTTTATTTTATAAAATAATATCTTTCTATTCTATATTCTATTTTTTCTATTCTTCATCCCTTTCCTTTAGTCGTGTAAATACCCCTGCCCCCTCCCCTCCTCCCCCCGTGAACTGTACAGTCTTTTAAAATTTTTCTAGTTTGTCTTGCGCACTTCTTGTCCTGGTGTTTAGAACTGCCTATGAGAGCTGCTAACTCAAATTTCATTGTGCTTCTCGTACAGTGACAATAAAGAGATTCTGATTCTGATTCTGATTTTGAAGAGATAGTCCTAAACGGCTGGAAGCAACAACCCTCCTGCTACTTGTGAGCGTGATTTTTGCCGTTATCGATAGATTGGATAGTTACCTGAGTGAGCACACCTGTGGCGGGGAGTGGTCGACCAGCAGCTCATCACACCTGGACAACAAAAGCCTGACTCAGACCACTACACAAGGCTGGACCACGTGCAGCAGCCAGTCAGTCAATGCTGGCTTCTGCTCGGTTCACGTTCGTTTGGCTCTGCATTAACTGTGTTCTCCTGCACTGCAGCTCCTACCCTGCCATATCCGACCTGGTTCGCTCTGGATTTTTACCCCCCACAGAAATCTCCAACAGAGCTAATATTTGTTGCTTCCAGCTGTTTAGGACTATGTCCTCTGGGTTTGTTAAACACGTGTGGCGCTAGACCAGCAGCATGTCCAGAAATGTTTCATAGGGATAGCAAGATGGAGCGACAGAAAGTCTTGGAGGAACACGGAAATCAAATTTGCTGTATAGAGGCCCTCAGAGGACGGATACAATCTAAAAAAAAGAGATCAACACTGCAGGTTTAAATAACAAAACACTTACTTTCTGTCTCTGTCACTGGTTGCCAGCTTGCTTCCACACTGACAGCTCTGTACCGTCCTGGAGCACGTTTGATGATTACGAAGCGTTTGGCCATAACCAGGGAACAGTTCTGTTTGAAAAGGGAGTCCTGAGGTACAGTACATATCAGGTGTGAAAGCCAGCTGCATCAAAATAAGGAAGGGTACCACTTTTGAGGATAAACATCTGCATTACCTGACTGTCACTTTCTCCAATATGACCACCACTACAGGATCACTCTGACAGGAAATTTGTGTTCGCTGGCTCAACAAAACCTGAAACTGCAGTTAGGGATGACGGATGTCAAGACAACTTTCTTCGTGAACCAGGTTTTCTCCATCAGGTTCCATCATCTGACTGTTCTTCTGCACAAAATGAGCCGAACAGGTTGTTATAATGGAGAGCTACGAAGAATACAATATGGTAAAAAGTGTTGTTGCTGCAATTGTGAAACAAAAAATGTTTCTAAAAGTTAAATTTTTTAACCAGTCGCTTATTTCTAACGCGGCAGCTGCACATTAGAGCTCTTGAACTTTATACATTTAAATATGAACACCTAAGTGCATTTACAGTGAAGGATATGTGAGTATCGCTTTAGATTTTGGCCAAATCAAAGTGAAATGAATGTTAGTGACTGAATATTTTCTGTGATAAATAAACTAATCCATTTTCTAATCAGTATGCTATCAGCTGCAGCACCAACGGTGTAAAACTGACTTGGCAAGCAAATCAGTGCCAAAACACATTTTCTGCATCCCCAACTGAATGCATGTATGTTCCCATGGCAACACAACGCATACAGTTTGCATTACTGCAGCTGCACGGCTTTGTTCAGAAATCTGTATCGCTCAGAGAGAATATAGTCAGAAGAATTGGTAAAAGAGAGAGACGCTTCTTACAGCTGATTCAAATCCGAGACCTCCTCCAGAGCAGGTTAGCTGTGCAGCATCAGTTACCATGGTGATAGAACAGGTTAAAACAGAGACACCTTCATGACAATGAAAACCCTCGAGGTCCTACGATACTAAATGGTTACTAGATTATTGTTTTGTCTGTGCTCCAAAAACAAAAGCCTCTTTTCCATCTTGTGACCATCCTAACAGTACACATGAAACTGCCCAGACATCAACTTCAACGCGACACAAGCATAAGAACAAGGGATGGCGGTCTTCATTCTCAGTATGTAATAAGTTTAAAGGAAATTGCTGTTGGCAGTAGCTATTTAAAAATGGAAGTTAGGTGTGAAAGAGTTTGTGGTTATTTTTTGGATGAGAAATCACATGTTTCTGAATAGAGAGAGTACAAGCCTTAAACAGAGTGTTGCATTATGGGTTGTTTGTAGCTTGAACGTTGCCAAGCTAGCTCTTTAGTGTTTATAGCAGGCCTGAGCAACACATCAGCAATATCGACACGAAAACAGCTTGATAGATTGTTTGATCAAATGCAAACCAGTGAAACCAGTCCAGGCCAGCCACTCGGAACCTAAACCTGACCCTGGTCCCCCTCCATGTACTTCTGGGTTTTACTTACTTTCTTTATTTAACGTGCATCAAGCTGAGATCATTCCTGCATTCAGATTTATGAGTGCAAATGTATGTATTTGTGTGGTTTTCACTGTTGTGTTACCACTGAAGTCATTCCCGATGTACCTTAATAAAGCAGTTACATCCAAATTAAACTTTTCTGCTTGTTTTTATTAAAAAAACAAAACAGAACAAAAAAACCCCCCAAAAAACTCAAAAGCATCAATAATTATCGATATCAATTGAAATTAAATATTGAAACAGTCCTAGTTTAGGGAGTTTTTCGCAGTCAGTCAGCACACAGTTTCATTTGAGGCCAGTTTAACCTCGCAGGAGTTTCTGAGCTCACCTACTGGACCGTTTAACAACCTTAAGCTCTGCAAACTCGCTCCAACACATCAGTCTGCTGAGATCACGATGGCGACATCTCCTGGCTCGGTTCAGCTCCACCTTCACCTGCCGCAGTCGACAACACACTTGTGGTTTCGTACCTGGGAGTACCACGTGAACCTCCTGTCGCATGCGCTGCACTTGAACGGCTTCTCCTGAGTGTGCAGCGCCATGTGTGTGGTCAGGTTGGTCTTTTTTGAAAACCTCTTGCTGCAAACGGAGCAGCCGAACGGTCTCTCCCCGGTGTGCACCCTCTGGTGGTTCACCAACGTGCAGCGCAGACTGAAACTCGTGTTGCAGACCGAGCAGGTGAACGGCTTTTCCCCCGTGTGGATCCTCAGGTGCGTGGTCATGTTCGAGCGCTTTGTGAATTTCTTACCGCAAAACGGGCAGGGGTACGTTTTGTCTCCGGCGTGACGTTTCATGTGGACCTGCAGGTGGTCCTCGCAGCCGAACCTTTTGCCACACTCGGAGCACCTGAAAGGGTTTTTCAGAGGAAAGAAACCGGAGGGAGGTTCCCTGCTCTGCTTCGAGCCGTCGCTGCTGTCCTCGGCCTCAGAGGAAATCTTATTACTGTCTGGATCGAAGCTCTTGGCTGCTTCTGATCCTCCGTATGCTTCTACTTTTAAATGTTCTGCATCTCTGGTCTCTTCAGTTTGGTTTTGAGCTCCTGCTTCGACAGCGTCTTCACTCTTCACGGGGACGGCGGTGAACGGGAACTCGAGTTCAACCTCCTGCAGCACATGAAGCTGCTCTCCTTCCTGACTGCTGCACTGCTCCTCCTGCTCCTCCTTGATTTGTGGCGGCTTTGGCTCCTTCTGCTCCGGACGGGGGCTCCACTTCTGCTGCTCAGGGGCAGCCTCTTGAATCATCGCGAAATTCTCGACATTCCCAGGACACACTGGAAAACACAAACATCAGGTAAATCTGCCTGTTATGGAAAACACAATCTATGAATAACTGTTGAGTGATCTGTACATTCAAGTCTAATGTCAACTTTTTTGTGGAAACACATTTGCCAGTTTCCACCTCTTTGTATGGATTCTTTTGAGCTACTTCTACCATGCAAGGATCACACAGTTCAGAGAATGTCACATGATTTACCTAGAAGTTATGAGTGATTTCTATCTGAAAATCTGTAGCTGTAAATTAAATTTGTAACTCCTGTATCAAAATTTGGGCATCGACCCAGTATCTTTTAATGGAGATATATTTGTGAATTTCCACCGATCCTGGTGCATCGCCCAAGATGACTATGATTGGTGTAAAGAAATACAAACAAGCCAGTTACCCTGATGACAAAATGATATTCAGGTGCAGTCAGACCATTCATCAACGCCGACACAGCGCGTAAAGATTGGTCTGGCTGTGCAAAACGAAGCGTTAAGCAATCAATTCTTGTTTTTTTCCCCCCACAACTTAGTGACAATTTGAAATTCTAGTTATAACTTTAATGACGTCTCAAACTCACTTTCAAATTTGTGAGACCTTTCCTATATTTGTGAATGTGCTAAAAAGGGACAAACAGGCTACTTTGTCTACATTTAGATGTTAAAATAAACAAACAAAAACACTGAAATGTTAAGACTTTAGATTACACTGGACCAGGTCTACATCTGAAAACATGTTATACAGACTGGTCAAATCTGGGCTAGATCGTTCCACAGAGGCTCAGGATTTTTAAAGCTAGTCTCTGATTGAGAAACCTACATTACACTTGGGAAAAAAGCACAACAGGAAGATCTTGTTGTTTTTATCTGGACCATATTAGACCAGAATGTGAGTGTTCTTGGTTGTCTGTCTCTAAGTGTAGCCCTGTGATAGACTGGCGACCTGTCCAGGGTGTCCCCTGCCTTCGCCCTAAGTCGGCTGGGATAGGCTCCAGCCCCCCATGACCCTAATGAGGATTAAGCGGTGTATAGATAATGAATGGATGGATATTAGACCAGGTCCAGACTACTGCAAATAGATTCATATTCAGACAAGATTATGTCAAATAGACCAAAGAGTCTTTAAAACACTGCAAAACCTTACTATGTTTGTGAAAATGCAAAAAGGAAGATTTCACTGTTTTTTTTCTCCACATCTGACCAACATTAAACCACATTCGGGTCTAAAACCACCATCTGCAGAGGAGGAAAAAAAAGAAAATCAGCACTAAATTATGTCAGAGAGACTGAGGAGTCTTTAAAAACGATCTATGATTTGAGATTATTATTGTATATGTAAAAACGCAATATTAAAAAAAATAATAAAAGTTTTACATCAGGACTTAGGAGCCATTGAAACAAGGATTCAAAGTGTTTATTGGTCACAAACACAGTTATACATGCTATAACGCGCAGTGAAATGCTTTGTGCACCTGTTCCACACCGAAACAATATTTAAAAAGATGAATACCAATAAAGAATTACACAATCTAATACTGAGAAATGTTTGTTGCATTTAGGAAATGCAAAGCCGGGAGATTTCAGTGTATTATTTTTTTGGCATCTGAACCACATCAGGCCTGGTCCAGATCTAAAACCACCAAATACAGAGGAGCAGAATCTGGATTAGAGCCCAATCTGACTTGAGAAACCTCTATTCTGTTTGTAAAAATGCAAACCAGGCAGGTTTCACTATTATTCCCCACATCTGAACTATAGTCAACCAAGTCCAGGGGTCTGCTTCACAAAGCAGGTTTCGTGAAAACTCTGAGTCTGTTAAAACCTTCAAGAAACCTTTATTTTGTTGGTAAAAATGTAAAAAGCAAAATAAAAACACATTTATGGAGTCATCACATTACACAAGGACTAGATATAAAACTATCATATGAAGACTGGTCCAATGTGGACTAGATTTTTCCTACAGAGGCTGAGGAACAGTTTTATATCTTACCTTTAGATAGAGGATAAAATCTGGGTTTACAGTCATCCTCAGATGTATTCATACCCTCTCATTAAAGAAGGGGAAAAAAGAGCTGTCACTGAAATAATCATGACATTGCTTTTGAATTGTGGTTCAACAGAAACATAAAAAAAAAGAAGCAAAAAAGCATGATGGGACCCGTAAACTAATATTTTGTTGGACAACTCTTTGAGCCAATCACTGCAATCAAGTGTTTTCTGTAACTCTCCATCAGACTTCTGCACCTGTTGACAGGTATTTAGATTCTGACCTCATCAGCAAAGTGCTCTAATTTGTCTGGGACAGGTGATATATTTTTATTTTTTAAAATTATTCTTTTCAACCACAATTCAAAAGCAATGTCTTATTTCACTGAATTAAAATTTAGCAAATTTTTATTTAGTATGACTTTTTTCAGTTTCTAGTTATTTGAGTGATTATTGTGATTTAAAAAATAGATATATAATACTAAAACCTGTAAAGCACCTGCCGTGTGTCTCCTCTGCAGCTCTCTCTCCGCCTCGTACTCCGCTATCGTCCTCTCAAACAGCGACAGAATCTCCTCAGCAGCTGCCGTCAGCCGCTGGTTCACCAAAACTCTCAACATCTGCACTTTAGACATTTTTTTTTCCTTTTTGTTTTTTTCCTTCTTCACGAAGCAGCATCAACTTTTCCCTGCAGGTGTGTTCGGTGTCGGAAGCTGGCGTGTTGCTAGGTGACACCGCGCAGCCAAAGCTAGCAGGCTAAGCTAACGTCTGTTCGGAGGAAGACGAAGAAGAAAAAAAAAAAGAATAAAAATTAAGTCCAGTCACACGGTGCTGCTTGTTTTTTTCACCCCTGCTCTCTGTCTGTTCGGGTTTTCTACAAGAGAAGACCTTTAACGACGCGAAGCAGCAGAAGCACACCGAGCTGCTCGAACAATGGAGGCTGAGACACTGCTTCCGGGGCTCAACCTTCAAAATAAAAGTTCTGGGTTAGCGGTCAAAATATGTGCTTATTTTAATTATAATAATGTGCAACATTCAAGCTGCAACTTATAGGAAGTCGATTTAACATTTAATA